AGGCTTCAACAACTAGACATGCAAATATGTAGGCATTCAGGCTCCAGCAAGCGGGTAAACGGGCATGCAAGCAAGCCTCTATCATCCATCTGTAGTAAATTCTTGCTCATTTTTTTTTTTTTTTGATTAATTGCATTGTCATTATTATTAGTAGTTTGTACGTAATTTCTAATAATGTTATCAATAAATCATATTTTCTGTTTTTTTTCCAACAAACTTGAGTAACAACGATGTGGGAGGCATGCCTTGAAGAAAACAATTTGAAAACCACTATTATGCTTTGGAATAATAATGGTTGTGTATTTTAATTACTTAGGAGTTTGTTAAGTTATTTTGGAAGTTGTAAGGGTGTCATGGAAACTTGAGGTCTATTAATTTGTAAACCCTTATAAATATTGTACTACAAAGCCTTGAAGGGGACTTGATTAATTAAAAATATATTTGCTTTGTGCAACCGAAGAAAGTACTTTCCTCCTTCTCAAATCAAGCGTTTGGCTTGGTTGTGTGACTAAAGCCACGATTAGCAACGTTGAGTGAGCTTTGTTGCCTCTAGTTGAGCGCATCCCATGTTATTTATTCCTGTCTCCTCGAGACCCTTGATTTTTTCATGCATCAAGTGGTATCAGAGCAAGTTTTTTGCTGTGTTAGAAGATCATGAGTGATATTTTCTATTCGTTTGAATATGAAATGATTGAAGAGATTAGTTTGGTTGATGAAATTTCCCCAAAATTTATGACAAGTACGTTGATGATGACGAAGAAGTCAATGAGAACTTGATTGATTGGACTTCTACACCAATTTTTGACAAGCAAAATGATCATTACAAGTATGCGATCAAGGTGGCTAATCAAGAGTGTTGTAGGCAGCTTGAGGTCACTTGTTTTTCATATTGGGATTCTATCCTAATTTTTGTTGACTATCATGGAGATGCAGGTAAGAGTTCACTGTTTGAACAACACTATGGACAGCTCACAAAGAATGAAAAATCTATTGGATTCATCTTTCATGATTACATTTGGGATGAGGTAATTGCCTTGTGATTTGGGCAAGAAAAAATGTGTGGTTGAGAAAGCACGTATGCATTACTAATATTTTGGTAGAAAAATAGGATTATTGGATAAGGAAGCATATAGCCATCATGATTTTTTTAGTAGAAGAAGAGGCATAATGTATCCACGATGGAAGAAGAAAGGATACTATGAATTTTCTTCTTTTTGCAATATTGTGCAGATTGTGATTATTTTGCTAAATCATTGTGGTGGAAAATATTGATTGGACACCCAAAGGGTTGAAGAAGACCAAACAAAAAACTCCAGGACGAGTTTTCTTCGAGAAAAGGAGAATGATGTGGGAGGCATGCCTTGAAGAAAACAATTCGAAAACCACTATTATGCTTGGAATAATAAAGGTTGTGTATTTTAATTGCTTAGGAATTTGAGAGTTGTAAGGATGTCATAGAAACTTGAAGTCTATTAAAACCCTATAATTATTGCGCTACAAAGCCTTGAAGGGAACTTGATTAATAAAAAATATATTTACTTTGTGCAACTAAAGAAAGTATTTTCCTCCTCAAATCAAGCGCGTTTGGCTTGGTTGTGTGAGTGAATCCACAATTAGCAACGTTGAGCAAGCTCCATTGCCCCTGGTTGAGCGCATCCCAGGTTATTTATCCCCATCTCCTCAAGACTCTTGGTTCTTTCCTGCATCAAAGAAAGTTGAGATGTGTTTGCATGGGTCTTGTTGGAAGTTAGCCGATCAAGCTTGTTGATTGATTCTACTTCCAGAAGAAAATATTTTTCTGCTTTAATGTAACACACAATGGAATTTTCCAAGACCTCAAAAGATTTTAATAAATAAATTCCTTCACATCATCATCATCCACTCTATATGCAGACCATGTAGTTTCTATTGCATTATATATAACTTTCATGGTCATCTCATACTCATTTGGCCACATTCACAAATGATATGTACTTGTTTAAATATCCGACATCGACCGTACATCTAAGAAAATAAGGGTTTAAATATCGTAACCTCACTCCAACTAATACGGAGGCCTTTTGTGATAAAACCTCACATTTGACGGATTGTGTAGGTGATAATTACCAAGTTAGGATAGATCGGTGTTGTTGGAAGTAGACCTTTGGTCTATCTCTCTGATAATTTGACATGGTATCAGTGCCAGGAAGCAGACTCGTACTGCCACGTAATGGGTGGGTCCCTTTGGCCCCGCACGATGATGGTGGTCCCTTGGCCCTATGTGTAAGGTGAGTCATCTTGGCTCCACATGGTTGTTGTGTGGATCTCACATGTGACCCACTATTAGGGTCCAATGTGAGGGGGCGTGTTGAGATATCCCACATCGATCGTACATCTGAGAAAAGAAAAGTTTAAATATCCTAACCCTATTCCAATTAATACTGAGGCCTTTTGTGATAAAACCTCACACTTGACGAATTGTGCATGTGGTCCCTTGGCCCCATGTGTGGGATGAGTCCTCTTGGCTCCACATGGTTGTTGATGTGTGGATCTCATGTGCAACCCACTATTAGGGTCCCAAGTGAGGGGGCACGTTGAGATATCCCACATCGATCGTACTTCTGAGAAAAGAAGAGTTTAAGTATCCTAACCCCACTCCAATTAATAATGAGACCTTTTGTGATAAAATCCCACATCTGACGGATTGTGCATGTGGTAATTACCAAGTTGGGAATAGTACCTATGTCATTGGAAGTGGCTTTTGGTCTGTCTCTTTGTTAATTTGACATTAGTTTCCTCCGAAGCTCTGCAAATGTAATTTTATTTGAAACAATTAAAGGAAAACTAATGATAAGAGCTCCAAAACTTTGAGTTGTGACAAAAAACAACCTTGTAACTTTATTTAATGGTTAGTAAAGAGCCCAATACTAAATCAGTTCAACTAGGATGGCCTAACCAAAATAACATGTTGATTTGTCAAGGATGGCCCAACTAGTGGCTTTGCTACTGTAATCCATACTTCCGCCGGAGGGAGGGGGGACTCATAGAAGTATTTCGCCTCTCTCTAAACACCATCATGTGATTCACTAACGTTAGGAATCGAACCCACGACATGTCGTGCAGAATAGTGGTTTACATAGTTTTCTATTTCATTGATGTTGAGTTTGTTTATGTACTTATTTATTCATAGTTACATATTATGACTTATGTTACGAAATATTAGTTATATCGTCAACAATCATTAATCATTATCATCATAAACAAATCAATAACACTACGTGATGATATAACTGACACACTCTAATTTTTTTTATGAAATGTACCTTAATTATATCTATATTTGGATGCAAGAACATGTTAGCTTATGGAGCACATGCATAATAACATACTCAGCAAAATCTGACCAACAGACTAGTAGTCTAATCGTATCAAAAGGACGTGTTTTATTTTTTTTCCAGTTGCTCTCATGTATTGTGATTGGTGGCTAACGGGCTTTGGGTTAGCCTCCTTTAGGGGTAGTTATTGAAAAAGAATTTTATTGGGGGTTAGGCTTTAATCAGCTCGTGTTTTTAATGTTTGTAAGGCTGTGATACGAGTAGTTTTATCCTTATGGTTAAATCTCAAATTGTTTTGGTTAAATAAAAGTTCAGGGTGATTTTTGGTTAATAAAAAATTGACCCAAACCCTCTTTATTAAAATTCGCAACAATTAATTATTTTGTTTTGCAATTTTTGTACGCTGAGTCAGTCCACCTCCCACCATAGCTTATCGAAATTGTCAAATTAGACTGCTTCCTAAAATATAATCAAAACAATAAGAAAAGAAAAAAGTGAAACACATATTGAAATATATTTTTATCTACATCATTCAATTTCCCAGACAATCCTACGAACTGCTTCTCATAAACGATTCCTCGTATGTGATAAAATGCATACATGTCAATAATAATGAAACGACTTATAGTCAAAGACTCAGACAGTCCAAAAAGAGTGCTTCGTACCAAAGGAAAATGGAAAGAAAAACGGTTTTTTTTTTTTTTAGTATAATGATTTTTTTATACTAAGAAGAAAGGAAGTTCAGCTAAGCCATATAATAGGCAGCCTGATTTGAAAAGGAAAACGGTTTGTTATCAATAAGGTGTGCCTTTTCTGCAAGTCATTATCTTTAAATTTCATATTTAGTTTGCCTTACCTTAAAATTGTGTAAGAGCTAAAATGGACGAAGAACTTCATAGATCTACAAATTTGAATCTTATTGAGAATTATCACATTTTTCTACTGATGTTAAACTTGTATACCTATAAATCAATCAATAAAATGAACCACCTACCCTCATCGTCACTTAAGGCTGCACAAATCTCACTGTTTCTCACAAGTTTCCACCATTTCTTACGTCTACGGTTTTGCCTTCAGATTCTCTAATTCTTCATCTAATAGGATTTTCTGTTTTTTTAGTTTATTTGGTGTTTAATTTGAGAGTATTTGTGTCTATTTAAGTGGAATTTTTGGATATATTTGATGGTTTTTATAAAAACTAACATTGTTGAAATTATTTGACTTTATTTGATAATTTCTCCTTTGGATATGTATTCTATACAATTATTACTTTTGCTAAATGATCATATAGGTTTGAGCCACATTCAAGTAACCAACCTACTTATCGCTATTGGACAAGTTTAAATTTTGAGATTTGTGTCTGTCCACTACATAGATCTCGAAATTTAAACTCATTTAACGACGATAAATAGTCACCGGCATCATCATCACCTGAGGTTGGTGAACATTGGTTAGAGAAGTATTACTAGAATAACCCGTTGGCACTGAAAGATACCATAGAACCTTTTTTTTTTTTTTTTTTTTTTTTTTAAATCAATGTAGCTCTTACGTGAACGAAATTTACACACGTCCCACATCAATCCCAGAATTCCTTGATTCTCATCCCATAAGGGAGCTGAATTGTAATGTAATTCCCATAACATCCCACCATCCTCCCACTCTCTCACCTAAATGTTGGTAAGGAAATGCATGAATCCATCGATATCATTCGTTTTGTGTGAATCAAGCACCCCTAAAAAGCACTTTACAAGTACAAGCAAATTGGGAAGTACATCTTCGACATCGATTTTGAGTCTTCACCCCCTAACAATGTTACCATTGACATCATAATTCAAGTTTCAAGCGTGATGGGACTGTAGAATGTCTACATTTCCAAATATTTTTCTTATGTTTTAAATGCTATCTGAATGCATATACATTTTTAATGGTATCAGGAAATCTGAAAAGATCGCTACCTCATTCATGTTGACTCTTTCGCTCCTAGTGCTCGAACAAGGGGTAACTTGGCATATTCGTCCAAAGCCCTAAAAGCAACTGAGGCGATGTTAGTTACAAGCATTCCCTTTTCCGGTTCTTGTCACAATAGAAACAGCTTCAATACCTACAGAAAATTCCCATGAAAGTGTTTTGAAATTGACCCAAATGATATCATTCTAACTAAATAGAATGCTCAAGCTATAATTTTTATTTACTAGTATGTGCATGTGTGGGATGCGGGATGTGAACTATGAGGCCTCTTTCGAGGAGAAATGTGGCTACATCCGGTGATCCGATCTTTTCACTTGGTTACTTACTTGTCAGTAAAGGGTAATCAAGGTCAAGTCTAAGCATCCGCATGAATAGATAGTGTTTAACTTTGAGTACAGCCTTCAAAGGCAAGTAAAACTCCTCATAAATGCTTACTCAAACTCTCTTTACTTTACTCAATTGAAGGTAAGGCATATATTCTCAAAACAAAGAGTAGAATTCATTTATTTTGGCTGTTAATCCAGTTCAAAGTATTGTCCACAAAGAAGAGGCTGAGGTAGGGTGGCTGAAATTTACTTCCTCCTCTTTGGACCAACGATGATCAGATCAAAGATCAACTTGACCATCACTGGATAGACAACATTCAGAATGATATCAAAGTTCTAACTAATTATCAAACTAATAATCGTGAAGCAAATCCTATGAAAACTATACACATCTACTATCAACTGGAATGGCATTCTGGCAATGATTATGGCACATGATTCATATTTCAAGATATCGTCATTCACCAAGACAAAATCCTCGCTAACAGTAAAAAACTCATTCTAAGAGCATGCAATCTAGAACAATTGTAGGCCATATAAAAGATACTTAGGATATCCTATACATTTTAACCAAGATTTCCACAGTATTTGACCAAGATAGGACTTTTGATAATAAATAAGGAACGCTTTTTTGTTTTTGTTTTTATCCCCTTTTGACATACTACTGAATTGTGAATCTTATTCCACTTTAGGAATTGTCAATATTTATAAGATAATATATGAGCGTCAAAGCGGTAAAATTACCTTTCAGTCTTCATCCTGCTCGGGTACAATGTGTTTACCACTTTTTCTTAACTTGAATAAAATACAAACGGTACTGCATAAAGAGAACCATTCATAAGCACATTTTTATAGAACTAAACGTATGCTAGCACTTCCAGAAAGTAATATCTAAATAATTGCAAGCCCGTATTGATTTTCTAGCCATGGTAACAGAGGTAAGACAATATACAACTGGAAGAGTGCAAGTGAGGCAGCAGCCGTGCATTATTAATTGCAAAAGTCCATAGACATTAGATATTATAAAATCTAATTATGTGTCTACATATGCTAGGCCAGAAACAATATTCTAGCCGCTGTTATAAGACTCTTACTAAATTATGCCAGCAGATACAAATTATGATAATCCCCAAACAGTTCTCCTACAATCGAGTGTTCATTACAAAAATATGATTTGTTTGAAACATGAATACTATCACCTAAGTCTGATACGACGAAGTATGATTTTCAAAAATGTTACATACAGTTGGCTCAGTTTACATTTAATATTTATACTATTTCATCTAAATAAGCCATGTTGCCTGAGAGGATTATATTTTTGAGCAATTGATTAAAATGGTTTCGAAAGTATTGTAAGGTCATTTTCAGTTTAGCATACAGCACATTGACTTCTTAATGACTGAGATAAGTTCAAGCAAATCTACAGCTTACCAAGCAAAAAAACAGTGAGCATCAAACCAAGGGTAGCTTGAACTGAACAACGACTGTTCAAGCGTAGTGGTGTCTGCCATTGCTTCCGTGGACTTTGCAATTGCTTCTGAGATGCACCAACCCGACCAAACATCTGCAAAGACAATATATGAGTTTTTCTAAAAATTAATAAAAAATAAACAAACAAAAAAAATCTATCAACTGAAAGAAAGCAAAGGAGAGAGGATGAAAAGAACAAAAACCAAATTCGTTCTTTTCTTTCTCCTTGCATGTGAAAGATATATTGCCTTTTATTCACATGTTATAATCAACTCTTCCCTTCAAGTACGTAATAATCTGACCTGGTTGAACAAATTAACTGCTCCAGTTCCCAGATGCAATTGCCCACACTTTTGCCTCCAGAAGACAAGTTTAGATCGTTTTTCTTTGGGTGTGTCCTCATATCCCGGAATTAGATTTCTTCTCTGTTCTATTTCATCCGCTATTACAATCCTCAACTCACTGTAATTTGGTGAGCTGCATGTCTTCCTTGTATTAGTTGTTTTTTCTGTATCATAAAATATATCATCCCTCATTCCTGCAATTTCTTTTCCTTTCGATTCCATGACGAAATTTGGATCCTTGGAAAGAGTAATAACATCTTTAACACCCTTTATTTCATCAGAGATGTCTCCATTGCATGCAGCACTAGATTTAAGGTTCATCTCTTTTCTTCTAATGTCACTTTCCCCAGAGCTGCTCCTACAAGGTCCTAGTTCTAGACATTCATTTTTGGCAGTTTGCATACTTTGGGATGTCCCAGAGAGAAATGCAGCAAAATCATCATGTTCTTCATCATCCAGCTGTACCCATCGAAGGGGTTGCTTTCCTTCCACACTAAACGATTCCCTTAGTGCTGTTTCAACTTGGGAAATTTGGTTTTCAATAGCAGTAATAAATTGTCCATGTCTAGCTGCTGTATGATCATCACCACGTTGTCCATAGCTCAATCTGACAGCCTTCTCAAACTCTTCCAACTAAAACGCATTCACAATTCAACACGACAGAATACAGTTAGAAAAAGTGCAATACCAGCTAAACCACTTATATAAAACACTTTCTCTGATTTCTAATTGGTAATAATATCTAACAGTCCAAATCAGGATTGAAATGCTAACAGAGATTGGCGGCAAAGAAAGTATATATCTCATCTTAGGGAACAAAATATCCAACAATGGTTAAAGCTGAGACGAGTTTTTTCACTTTCAAAAGAATTGATGGAAAACTTATCTAAATTGGATTCTTCCTTGTTCAACTTTATTAACAATCACCAGGATAGTATCGATACAATCATAAATTCTGATCATATTTTTGTACAGTGAATAAACAAGAGAGGAAGAAGAGTAGATAGCTGAAGAGAGACAAGAGACATACCTGCCATTTGGCAGTACCTAAAGCAGTTTGCAGCTCCCTACAGAGTTCATCCAAATGTTTTGGTGCTAGCCTTTCACTCCTCTGTCGAACCCATACCCTGTACGTAGATTCCATTCTGGAAAACAAAATAAATGGAAAATAAAAGGGGGAGTTAGAGAATAAGTTATTTCGAGTACCAATTTTACTGAGCTTTCTAAAAAAACATATATCAAGATGGTGGTAGTTAACGAGAATAGGCTCCCTATGCAAAAACTTATAGAGAGAGTAGCAGTATAATACCACTAAATCCCTATAGGGTGGTCTACCATCTACCATCACCTTCACAGTGCAATCACCAAACATGAGTGGCTCACAAAGTCATCCAACATCATGAGAGCATTTCCCTTAATGATTAGAATACAAAAAATTTATCATTTCCCCATTCCCAGTACAGTTGAGAATATTTTTTCTTATCATCCAAAATGAAGGGTAAAATCACGCTAACGCACTCCATTACAGCATACAGAAGCTATATCCGTAAACAAGTTATCATTTCCAAACCATCATGAGAGAGTATTCATCATAAACCTATCTAGAATTTCAAATTCAACCCACAATAAACATCAGGCACATCATCAAAACTTTGAAATAATGGGAAAAGGGGAGAGAAACACACAACCCAGAATTCCAACAAATTGACACTCAAAAACCAGCAGCACAACCGCCCAAATGAAAAATTTTCCAACAAATTATATATTTTAAGCACTATGAAAGATAAAGCACAAACAATTAATGCGTATTTCACTTCCAAAAATCTCGCAAAAACATAATTCAAAAAACCCATATCCAATTTCCAATAACACAGTCTAAATAAACACAGAAACCAATCAAAGCAGCTGAACCCACATGATAAAAATTATAAATAAATAAAATAAAATTAGGAAAAACAAAAAACAATGAAAAGCAGAAGGAAAACATGAACATACATGTCAGCTGATTCTTGGACCTCCTCAGCTGCAGGAAAGAAGACGTCCTTTTTCCAAAGATCAAAACTGCTTGCGACCATCATCTTGATTCTTCACCAACAACAAAAACCCACCAATGAAATTGAAAACAAGGACCCCCAATTCCCTTCCGAGCCTTCAAAGTTCAAGCTAACGAAAAAATGCTTCAAAAATTTTCACATAAACGGGTATTTATGATGCTCCGGCAGGTGGCTTTTTGTTGCTTGGCCGTCTCCTTTCCTCTCTTCTCTTCTTCGCTAGGGAGGAAGCAAAGAAGGAAGAGAAAGACGAAAGAAAGGTAACAAACAGAGAGAGAGGAGACGTAGTATTTATTTCTCTTTTTTCTCACTACATTCTTTCCCTCTGTATCTTTGTGTCTATGTTTCTTTCTTTTTCTTTTTCTTTATTTCAAAAAAATATTTAATATTCGACCAAAACAAATATTAAATAAAACCTATAGTATAAGGTGGTAATCTGCTGCAGCAGCCAAAGAAAGATGTAGCAAGTCATCACTGAGATTTGTTCTTGTGATTCTACAACATCAAGTCTTGAACGAGCGTCGATTAATGATACAGCCCCATGATAATTTTATAGCATTTAAGTTGGAATCAAGTGAATAGCTAGTTCGTTTCGATATCAATTTATTCTTAAATCCGTCAAAGAAATCTGATTTGTTTTGCAATCAAAATACTAAATTTAAACTAGTTAGCCAATTACTACTTAATACAACGGATTAGTGATATTTCTCATCATTTGTAAGTGAGAGGTCTTCGGTTCGATTCTCGTCTAAGGCGAATTTGAACCATATTATTATTAGCCTATTGTGAAGCTTAGCCTACCCTATTTCTCTCTAAATGTAGATAATTTCGTTTGTTAAAAAAAAAAAAAAAAAAAAACAAACAAACAAACCGATTTAGCCAATTTTTCAGTTACTTGTTTTTTGACGAAACTGCCTTATAAATATTTTAAACAAACGATGTTGTTTACATTAAGGAGGTAGAGAAGTAGGTTGAGTCTCATAATGGACTAACAATAATGTGATTTAAATTCATTTTTAATGATAATCGAACTTAAATTTTTTTACTTATAAATAAAGAAGAATATTACTAGATCATATTGCTAAATGACAATTGCCCTATATTTTTTAGGTATGTGGATTTTGTATTGGTTGGCAGGACATGATGTCGGCGGTTGGAGACAGGTCAAGAAGAACTAATAGACAAAAAAGGGATGGTGGGCAGCCCACTTGGCTACAGCCAATGTGTGTGCTCCTTATTGGGACTATGCCAGCTCGGTCCTCACAACATTACCGAAATGGGTGATGAGTCACATTATGCCATCTCAACTCCATTATCAATTAATTGTTTAAACTCTACATTTGTGAATAATTCAACTCTAATACTTGAAATTTGATTATGATTAATCCATCACAAGTGCAGATGTGACTCAAACTCACGAGATATTCTTTCATACATCTAATTCACTGAATAATAATTGTCTACTAAATGAGTAGTGCACCTTTTTAGCATGTAATAAAAATCAAGATCAAACGATGAAGTTTTATTCAACTCATCTAAATTTACACAAGCGATATAGAAAGAGCATGTACGCTCTAACCAATGTGGCTACACTTACAACTGCATCTTAATGCAAGTATTACAAATAATTCATTAAGATGGATACAACTCTTAAATTTGTTTGTCCTTCTTTAGCAGTCGTAGTTAGATTAATCACACATAATCCAAAAATCCTAATTAATTTCTAAGACGTGAAGTATGATGATGGAGGATAATGTTTGTTTTGATCAAATTGATCGAGAATAATATCGCATTGGGAAGGAAAGACATAACATGTCAACCTCACAATTAAGTCACAACCTCCTTAACCACCACTTCAACTACCACCATTCCCACTTACTCACATGTGTAAACGTTACATTACATTATTAATATGACTTCTCTTTCTTTTGTTTTTTTCCTAAACGTTACATTACATTATTTTTACACAAGCAATATTGAAGTAGGGCGAATAGAATATAATACGTCGAGTGAAAGTTAAGTGAATTCTCTGATCAAGTAAGCCACATATACATTTTGCTTATTTCACATGAATTTTTCTTGAGCAATTTTCCTTCTTCATTTTCTTCCTTTTTCTTTTTTCTTTCTTTCTTTTTTTTTATTTATTTATTTTTATTTTTTATTTTTTTTGTGGCCAACTATTTTATTTATTATTTTAGTAGGCTATAGCATGACTTGCACTACCAATTATTTATAAAGAGTGCTGATAAACTCATATCACTGTGTTATCTCTTCATTCACTTTTTAATAGAAATTTTGATATCAATTTTACTTCTTGTAAAATGACATTTGAGGACCTAAGCTTAAAAAAAAAAAAAAAAAAATCCTCTTCTATGTATACCATCTCTGACACACCCCGACTCGGGATATCCACTAGGACTCTGAATCAAGCTGTGTTGGTCAACACCTGGAAAGTGACAAAGCCATAAAGTGTATTGATGTGGAAGATGTGAACAAATTTGAACCTAAAAGAGCCTAAGTACAAGAGTGCGCTGTGAGCGGGTATGAACTCATTTCACATGTGATGACAGAGCATAATTACAATACAGTAAAATAGGCTGAGAATTATACCATCGATGGTAATCGTCTACCTCAAGATTTGCCGATAATCCTCGTCGGTATGAAAACTCTGCTACTAGAATCTGGAGGGACGAAAAACAAGGGTGAGTGAGCCTGAAAATAAAGTTTTAATTCTCCAACATTATCCAGTTGAATATATTTGATTGGATAATCAGGGTGGTGAGCCCTGAGCTTGATAACCTGAGCCAACAGTTTGGAAAATGCAGCGATCATTGTGGAAAATAAGCACACGTGTGACCAACGTGTATAAGCCGTCATCCAAAACCATAAAGTATATAAATGGTCCATAGGGAGGGTAAATCAATCCATAAATGTCCCCCTGCATCCGTTGTAGAAAAATGGAAGGATTCGAACGAATCTTGTCATAAGAAGGCTTAGTAATAAGCTTTCCCATAAAACATGTTTGACATGAGATTCCTTGGGTCGAACCTAAACTTCGGGTTAATGGATGCCCGTGTGATGATTTAAGGATATGGCACATCGCTATTCGTCCAGGATGTCCCAAATGATCATGCCAATGTGTAATTTCGTGCGTGGTCCCAGTAGTAGGGTCGGCCACATAGTGGCATTCTATGAGGCGTATAGTCGTAGTATACAGACCACTCAGGATACGCTCAATCTTCTTTAGAATATGCTTCTGCCCATATTTGTAGGAAGTTATGCATAGAAATTCAACTCCGTTTTCTATGTGGGTTTCAGTGTGGTAATTGTTATCTCTAATGTCCTTGAAACTTAACAACGTTCTTCTGGAATGTGGAGAATAGAGTGCCTAAGAAATGGTGAAGATTGTACCATTGGACAACATTATACGTGTCTTACCATATATTTCTATCAGGTTGGATGGGCCTGAGAGGGTTGTCAGAGGTGCAATCTTAGGTATGAAGTTAGTGAAATAGATGCGTTCACGCAAAACTGTGTGTGTGGTTGTAATATCTGCCAGACAACTAACTTCCCCATTAGTCATACCTAGAATGAAAAATTAATTTGAATCGATCACATGCATAAAAGTTCTAAAAACAAATATCAATTCAAAATAATTTCATTTATTCAAGGATGGTAATTAATTAAATCTTAATATCCAAAAACAAATCACGAACAAATAATCCAAACATAACGGAAAATTGTTCAAAAATCAACCAAAAAACAAAAAAGGGTTTGGCCACTAGGTGGAATTCGACCCCATTGTGCAATTTTAACTAACTAAAATTGTTTATGTCTAAGATTCTAATCTTCGATAGGGGTGGTATCCTCTTGAAAGTCAAAAACCTTCATCTTTGTAGTCTCTGGTTCATCCATTTGCACGAAGTTTGATTCAAACTTCTTACGACGAGAATGATATTCAGCTACAACCTTCTGGGGAGCTCGGCAAACATAGGACTAATGGTCATTTGAACCATAGCGATAGCACATATCCATATCCATAGTTTCAGGTGTTTTGCCTTTATTCTTGAAGTTCGGGGCCTTGGGAGCGAGGTTTAAGCGTTTCTGGGCTTTGTTTTGTCCCTTAGATGGACCTTGACTTTGTTGACCTTCGCAAGGTGGCTTTTGGCCGCCCCTACCACGCCTCTTTTGGTGTTTTGGGCATTGGTTTGTGCTATAATGTGCTTTAGGCATAGCAATCGCCCTAGTTCTGCTTTTCAGCAAAAAGTAAAACAGAGATCAAATCTAAGAGCTTAGTGAACTTCTGAGCTCTATATTATTGCTGCAGGACAATATTTGAAGCATAGAAGGTCGAATAGGTCTTCTCCAGGAGATCCACTTCGGTCAAAGTTTCATTACAAAACTTGAGAAGTGATCGGATTCGACAAACTTCAGAATTATATTCATTCATAGACTTAAAGTCTTAGAAGCGCAAATGTTGGTAGTCATGTCTTGCTTTAGGCAAGAATATGTCATTTTGGTGATCAAAACGATCAGCTAAAGCAACCCATAGTGCACGTGGATCCTCCTTAGCAAAGTATTCAGTTTGCAAGGCGTCATGGATATGTCTTCGGATGAAGTTCATAGCGGTGGCTTTTTCAGCTTCTCCAACAGGATTGTCCATCTCTTTTTCAATGGTGGGATGAAAGTTCTTTGCAGTGAGTTGGAGCTTCACATCTTGGACACACTTGAGGTAGTTCCTTCCAGAGACCTCCAAAGCGGTGAAGTCGAGTTTGTTCAAATTCGACATGTTCCTATCACAAAATAGATGGACAAGATGTGATGAGTGTAATGGAGAAAAATCAATCCATTCACATAGGAGTAGAAGATACAGGTTCTAATAAACATGTATTGGTTTAATTTTGCATGGAAAAACTTTGGGTTTTCATGGGTGATGTTTTTAAAGAAAACTTCAAGTTTTCAAACAAGGCACGTTTATAAGAAACTTCAGGCTTCGAAATAATTATGAACTTCATGTTCATATGTTCTTGCAGACAAACACAAATATATACACACAAAAAATGCAACAAAAATATGCAAACAGAACTTCGGGTCTATAGTTATAATTGAATTAAGTATTTGGACTTCGGGCCAAAATTTAAAGTGTGGGTGAAAAAAAAAATATAAAACGCAAATTGTCTAAAAGTACTAAAAAGCGAAGCTCGGGGCCCTAAAATATAGGCCAAAGCCCACGGGGGGCTGAGCAAATTTGGTCTATGTGACCTAAGCCCAAAAATTGGGATAGGGTTTATCTGGTGCAGGCTTCAGGCCCACGGGT